GCAATGTTGGAAGAGTGAAAATATTCCCACAAATGATATGATTATGTATAAAATTTTGGAATGCGCAGAAATGAACAAACTTATGTTAGAACTAAAAGATAAGGAGACGTCAGAATTTTATGAAATTTGGAATAAATGTTATAATTGGCTAGAACAGAGAAAGAAAAAGATATAATTATTGATGTATATAAAATGTAAAGAAGATGTAAAGAACATTTAAAATGTAAAGCACTGTTCTGTTAGAAGAAAAGATTTATGTTTATGTAGTTTTGGTGTATGGTGAAAAATAAAAAAAAATTAAAAAAAGAAAAGAAAAAGAAAGCAAGTACAGTTACAGAAAACATAAAATGATACAAAGAATACTGCAACTGAACTGCATTACTAACTACAAAATTGTATGTATAAAACTATCATTCTTACATAATAAAAACCAAACTCTTGTAGAATTTTTCTAAATGTAAACTAACAATTTTGAGTGTTTTGCAGCAATCTAGAGATCTGATTTTCCAGACTGAAATGGGGTTCATTTTGATGCTGCAGATATAACGGTGGGAATTGTTTAAAGCAGGGGTCCCCAACCTGTGGGCCGCAGCCCGGTAGTGGACCATGGCCTACTGGCACCCGGGCTGCAGGACAGGCTGGTCAGTGCGCATGTGTATGCGCGCGCGCACCCCCTCACTTGTGCTAGTGCCATGGCTGCGGGGTGCAAAAACAGGTGCAAAATTTAGCCGCCATGCCTCGGGGTGTGAAAATGGGATGTGCCAGAGCGTGAAAATAGGCCGCCACACCACCAGAGTGCAAAAATGGGCCGCCACCACACAAAAATGGGACACCGCCACACTGCAAGGCACAAAAACAGCCACCACAGGGTGTGGAAACAGGCCATCACCGCGCTGCAGGGAGCAAAAATGGCACCGCCGCACTGCAAGGCACAGAAACAAGGTGCTGCACCACACAAGAACGGGGCAGGGCTAGTATCACATGGGCGCTAGCCCCGCCCCATTTGTGGCACATGTGTGCTTGCGGCCCCGTGCATGCGCACATGTAAAATGCTTCCCCTCCCTTTTCCTCCGGTCCATCAACCGATAATGGTTGGTGACCTCTGGTTTAAAGAAAGGGATTGATTGCTAACATTTTTGCAATCATTTTTACATTACAACCTAAAACCAATTCTAGCAAATTAGACAACTAGCTATTTGCAAAAGGGTATTCCTCTCTTTTAAATTGCCTTCACTTTTTACTTTAAAAAAAGTTAAAGTATACTATTTAAAAGCTGAAGATTGTATGACAGAGTCCTTGACGAACAAGTGTATGTTTTTATCTAGCTGAACAGAATTGTCAGGTTTATGAATTATATAAAAGCATGCAAACTTTGAACTATGAGAGAATGACAGATGGGCAACAAAAAGTGTGTGTGTGTGTGTGTGTTTGATGGGGGAACGCCTATCTCTTACATGAGAAACTCAGAAAAGAATGCTAACGTTTACAGTGGGCAGTAGAAAGTTTCTTAGTGAAGTCAGAAAATGAGCATTTCATATCAGATAAGCCTCAGAACTGCATAACCTTCTATCAAACACTTTTGTGCAGTTATGGAAACTTCTCCTTTTCTAAAACTGTTATTCCCTGAAAACTAGTTTCCTGGTCCTTTGTTAATCCAAACTTATTTTAAAATATTAAATCTTACTTTATTTTATGAGGGATTTATACTATACTGATATCACAGGTATTACTTCTCAGCAGAATGAGCCTTCAGTTTCAGTGAAACCAGAATGAAGCCCAGAAGGAGCAGTACACAGAAACAATAAACATTTTGAAACTCCTATATTTTATGTGTGAGCTCCCCTAATCAAAAACAAATTCTCTTTGTTCTTTGTGTAAAATATAACTTTGCAAACTTATTTCCAAAGAGGCAAAATTGCACACTGAAATTCTCAACCCACTCCTTGACAGAATCCAATGTTGTACAAATGGAAATTCTACCTGCAAAAGTGAATTACAGGATTCCATACCTTATCAACAATGATAAAGATTTTGATACTGGATTTAAAAGACTTCATAAATATTGTGCAAAGCAAAGGCCTGTATCAAAAATTATGCAAGTCTATCCTTCTCACGCAACAGGATTCATACTTCACTCTGAACGTGTTTCCCAATGCTCATCCCAAATCTCTACAATAATTTTAGAGGATGCATTGGGAAATATAAGAGAAAACATGTCATTCTGCCAGTGAAATGACACTGGTGAAAGCTTCCCAAAATGACTACATTTTGTGACAACAAAAAATGCTATCTTCTTCACATGAAAGGCCACAGGCAGTTTTCACAGGGTTCAGTATATTAGCAGAAATTCCAGTGCAGACCTTCATACCTTTTTAAGTACTTCATACCTTTGATTACAGTGACAAATAATTGTACTTTGTAACCCAAATAATCATCACTAATGAACTTCCTATATACCCCACTTTTATCATTAGCATGGCTAATAAAGAGAACATCTGGCTACTGCTTTGTTTCAGGCCAAACAAGGTGGGTTGGTGATGAAAACAAAATTCTGCAACATATGAATATATTAAACTTTTTTTCATATTGTACATCATTTCTACTTCTTCTTCTTCTCCTGCGCACAGCGAGGACAATACCTAAAAAAAGAAAAGCATTATATTTAGCCCAATACACTTCTATGAAACCACTGCTATTTGACAAAGAAATAAATTGATTTATGAATAGATTAGCATGAAGACCACTGGAGATCTCATGCCCCCTATTAATATAATCACAGATATATTCACTTCCCTTATTTTCATCCATTGATTCAAAACATACACATATCTTTGCGTGTTGGCCTAAACGTCCTAGACCCCATAAGATATGTATATTACGTGTGTGGATGTGTAGTTTTTTAATTTGCCAATTTAAAGTCACTTTGCAAATAGACAGATGTATACATTCTAAAATCTCAGATTTCAGTGATATTTTCAAATAAAGGAACAGTAATTTCTTCATACAGCAGTTTGCTGAATGATATACATTTCTAAATTCAGTGGGATATGTTTCCCAGCAGATATGCTTACAGTAATTGCATCAGACCACTTTTTCCTAAATTGGTACCTGACAGATATGTTGGGACTATAATTTCCAGCACATCCAGAAAGTTGCTAGATTGAGGAAGAGTTGTCTTATATTATAAGCTCAGATATCAAAAGATAGCTCTTCCACAATAATTTAGAAAGCACTGAATCAAATATATCTTAGCAACAGTGCTTTCAACCTTCTTGGGACAAATGATCTAGGAGAACAAAAAGCAAATAATTCATGGTACATACCATTTCCCTTTGGGTTTGGTCGTGAGATCCACACAAGCGAAGTGAAACCATTCAATTGGACACTATATTTGGGGTTGAAAAAAAAATGAATGGCATAATTTTTTCATTATCAGTCTTATGAGCTACCTAGTCCTTCTATATCATATGCAGAAGTAGCAAATTTTATTTCAATATTCTTTCTTGTAAAATGCTTACATTGTAGAAGTACAGGGCTTATTTTTTACAGCAAAGCAAACAGGAGCACATTAGCTGATGATATATTCATGATTTCATAGTAGTATGTATTCCATATTTCATAATATGATATATGGAGCAATTATTATTATTATTATTATTATTTTAATTTGTATACCGCCCTTCTCCCATAGGACTCAGGGTGGTTCACAGCATATTAAAAACAAATAATATACACAAAATACAAAAAATACAAAATACAAAAATACAAAAATACAAAAAAAATAAACCCCGATAAAAGCCGAATTAAAACCAAATATTACCAGCTGTGTTTCCGATTAAAATACTTTTAAAATTATCCCTACCTAAAATCCTCCCTAGGTCAGGCCCGCTTGCTGGAAAA